GCATAGTAAATAAAATGCTTTACCCAGAAGACAAAATAATACAGAATATCGAACCGAAATGGAAGTTCTGGGTCCAAACATTTACCGTATGTGAATTCCTTTATCTGAATTTAGAAGCATAAAATTAGAGGTCTTTCCAAATTTAATGTCTTTAAGACATTTCTGCAGTTTAACTAACTGGTGTGTGTTATCTGGCTTCATGGACAGATAGAGCTGGGTGTCATCTCTATAGCAGTGAAAATGTACCCTGTGCAACTCCATAATTAACCTTTGTGTGAAGAGGTCTCTCCATTTACATGAACAAATTGGAGTCTATTAGAAACATCAGGGTTTTGTTTTTGTGGTCAAATAAGCCTGAAGTGTAATTTTTGTAACTGGCTGTAAACATGTTTATTTCTGCTGTAAAATTTGACTTTTTAAAACGGGAGTCAGTGGGTTTGACTCATTTTTAGATCCTCACTTAGACGCTTGAAGAACTGTAGCTTTTGACTATTTCAATTTTCCATGACCTTTTGTTTTACTATTTTGTTAATGGTTTGTTTCTTTAATTAGATACAAATGCTTTGTATAAAGCCAAATAGTTTTGACAGTTTCTTTTATTTTTAGAGCATTATAAATAGTTACTAATGATAATAGTTTTCAATAGGCCTTCCTCTCATCATGTTTTTTTGTTTTCTTTTATTTTTTCATGTATAGTTATTGTTGATTTAGTGGCTGTTATGTATTGTGGTATATTTTGTATGACTTGTATAGTACTTATTATTTTACATTTTAGGATTATTAGAAACAGTAACATTGTGTGTCTCTGTCTGACAGGTCGCTCATTACTTCGAGTGGATTAGGCTTCACATAGGTTGGTCTGCAGTCACCAAATTCAACTCATAATATGGAAAACCCACAGCATGTGGCCACATTTCAATATAGATGTGCCATTTTATTTTGGTTAAAACTGCTCAGTGAAAGATGGTAAAATATGCATTCACTGTTTGATGTTACTGCTTGGACCTACTGTTTGTATTGGTATTAAAATACTACGTTCTATCTAGTAAAACACCAATAAAATATGCTTGTAAACATACTAATGAGACTTAATCTTTACTTGTAAACATCTCTAAACTAAATTTGAGCCTTAACACACACTTGCTGAGGTTTACTCAAGTTTCTGGAATGTCTGATTGCTCTAATAGCATCGTGTTCTTAAATGGGAAAACAATGTGGAAAGATAAAAAAGAGAATAGAGCAAAAAAATAAAACACAAGGGGCTGCCAACTGCACAGACAGAGAAGAACTGAACAGACACACAAACAAATATGTGTATGTGCATTTATCATGAGGTAACAGGCACTCCACAGATGGAGCAAGCACAGGGCCCAAGGTACCTGAGAATCCCACCTGGCAAAACACCTAGTAGAACACCCCCAGCCTCGACCACAACCCCCAAAGGAGCACGTCAGGAAACATGCCAAAACATCCAGCCGTGTGCCCTTGCACCACCAAGCAGCACCAAACCCTGGATATCCCTTTGTAATGCAGTTCAGTTTTTTCTATCTCTGATGCATATCTGGATTTTTTCAAATGGGTTTTTACATGTGATAAGTGAAGACTTAAAAGATATTTTTTTAAATTCCCACCAAACTGCCAAAGAGCTGCTTTTGCTAAGGTGTTTAAAGCAGGCGTGATGCTTAATACAGGAGCTAATGTAAAGCAGATCGCTTTTTCACTGAGTGCTTGCTTTACGTCCAACCATGAGGTGTCTAACAAGCTTAATTTGATCCATTTTGAAGCACAGTAATCTGTTTTATAAGAAGAGGTGATAAGAAGAGTGTTAAAACTCATTCATGTGTTTTTAAATGCTTGAGTTTACTGACTTATATCAAGCCGTAGGGGGTTTATTCGGGATCAGTGAGAACATATAGTTGAATTTCAGCAGAACGCTGCACTAAGGTCTAGCAGGACAAGCACAGAGATGAGTCCACTGTCAGAGGCCATAAGAAGATCATTTGTAACCTTCACTAAAGCTGTTTCTGTGCTGTGATGAGCTCTGAA